GGGAGTGGGAGAGGGAGAAGCAGGCTTCCCGCGGAGCAGGGAGCCCGATGCGGGGCTCGATCCCAGGACCCTGGGATCATGACCTCAGCCAAAGGCAGACACTTAACAACTGAGCCACCCAGGCACCCCGTGCACGTGATTCCTTTGAGCATCTCAGCTTTACATTGAGCGTGGGGTCGAGCTCTCCCAGCAGGAATGCTGCAGGAGGAAGGGGTTCTCCTGTGTGTCGGGCTGGGCTGGGTTGGTCAGTGGTGTCATGCCCACGACACACTGTCCCTCGGCCATCTCGAAGCCTTGACCTGGCCACAGTAATCTTCCTGCAGTGCTCTCAACAGGGAAACCAGCACCCCGCCCCCCTCTGCAGTGTGCCTCGGGCCCATGCAGCCTGGAAGGTTCCCATTACCTTGCATGCCCAGCACCCCCACCCATACCCTCACGTACTCTGCCTCATCATGTGGATCTTGGGCTAAGCTGAATGTGTTCCTAGGCTGCCTACTTCGAGCCATGGTGGGGATCAGCCCGAGACCCACAGGGAGGTCCCAAAGAAGCTGAGTCTAGATGAGAGACATGCTCTTCCTGATCCAAAGAGGAAGCAACTGGTACAAAGGGGCCCCAGAGCCCTGACGTGGTCCCTTGAGACAGTGTGGCAGGTGTCCAGGTATGGTCACCTGGCAGCTTGTCCAAGGACGCTGTTTCCCACAGTATCGACAGTCAGAAGTCCCTGAAACAGCCACTCATATACCGGCCCTTTTGATCTTTCTTCCAGAACAGTCCATTTCTGATTTGCAGTTTGTAGCAGGTAAGTGTGAGGAAAGCAGAAACCACCACTGGCTCACCAAGCTGGACAGAACGTGCAAAGGTCAGAGGGCAAAATCTCTCTTGGGGTGCAACATACTCTCCAAGGATTTGGTCAACAGTGACTCTGAGCATTACAACACTTAACGGGCTGGGAGAACACTAAAAACTACCAGGCGCTTTTAGTTGGCCCCGTGGTGTCCTGACTGCCCAGCAAGAGCACGGAAACAGAAATGAAGCTCGTCTGTGGACAAGACTACGCCAGTCCTTCGCTTCAACAGAAACCGGCAAAGCTGCTCAAACACAGCAACGGTAACAGCTCGACTTCTGTATAAAGACAGCCTAGGAAGATGGAGCATTTCTTACTTGACTTTCCCATCACTCAGGCCTCATACTATGTGATGAGGTGATTAAAATATGTTAATAAATCATTTACTTCTCTGTACTAGTCCTCCTTTTGTACAACAAGAGAGGTGGCCTTTGTTTTGCCAACAGAGACAGGTGAGGTTGAGCACGTGCTGCTCGCTTTTCCATTTCTGACATGAGGCCTGAATTTTGGGAAGGCAACACCGGGAGTTGTGAGAAGGGGCCTGGTAGGAACACGGTCGTCTCAGCTGTAGTTTTTTTTTTTTAAAGATTTTATTTATTTATTTGACAGAGAGAGAGAGAGCGAGAGCAGGAACACAAGCAGGGGGAGTGGGAGAGGGAAAAGCAGGCTTCCCGCCGAGTGGGGAGCCCGATGCGGGAGACTGGAGCCATGTACCCACCTCCCCTCTTCTAGGAGGCGTGGCTGGACAAGGCAGGGGTCAGCCAACCAGCCCCGCTAAGAATCTGGTTCTGGCTTCTGCTCCCGGGGACTCGGACATTCCAGGCAGCCAGGCTCACTGGGAGGAGAAACCACAGGCACACAGAGACGCCACCAGACACAGAGACGCGTGCTCACGCCCACCGTTCTGTCACTCGAGAAATATTCGCTGAGCACCTACTGTGTGCCAGGGAACTGGAAGCTGTCGGAGGGAGGCAGGCAGACGGCAGGCCGGCTCATGGACAGATAAGATGGTTTTCATCCCTGGGAGAAGTGTCAAGAGACGAAAACAGGGCAGACTCTCCCTCCACAGGACTGACCGGGACGGCCTCTGAGGGAGTGACACCCACAGGTAAATGTCAGGCCGGTGCCTGGGGAAGCTGTCTCCCTGATGAGAGAGCAGAGCTGGGGGCATGGGGAGGTCTGTGGGGACCCCAGTCTGGCTCTCATGCTCAGTGAGCAAGATAGGGGCTTGGAGGGTCTAAGTGAGGAGGATGTGGTCTGGGGGTGCAGGAGTGTGCGATGGCTTAGAGCTGGTAGGGTTTATATGAACACACAAGGAAAACAGTCCTCCAAGGGCCAGGTGGCATGATGTCCGGGCCCCCAGGGGGCACACCCCGTGTCTTCCCCTTTAGTGTGGGCAGGAGCCGAAACAATGCCGGAAGGGCCTTTTGCACCCACATGACGAAGTGCTGGGACGCCACTCTCCGACAGGGTCTCCGTCCTGCTGCCTGCAGTCATCTGGCCACTCTGAAAGGGCCTTGCAGGGACCATGTGGGCGGCCAACAGCCAAGAAGAAAGTGGACCTCAGGCCTACAACAACAAGGAACTGGACTCCGCCCGCCCCCCACAAGAGCGTGGGAGAGGGCCGCGCTCAGGCCCGGACACAGCCCCGGCAGACACCGATTTCACCTGGGAGGCCCTGAGCTGAGGGCCCAGAAAACTCGCATCCACATGTCTGACCCAGGGAAGCCGTGTAATAGTGAATGTGTTTCATTAAGCTGCTCAATTTGTGGCAATTTGTGGTACAGCGAGAGAAGACAAACATAACTATCTCCGGAACAGAGCGAGGCCAGGGCTTAACCCAGCAAAAGGCACACATTTCACAAGGAGAAGGGACTGGTTCCTCAGTTTGGGGCTGGCTGCTGGCTGCAGCATGTGGTGCAGGGCAGGCCACGAGGCTGAGGCCACATGGAGAGCCACGTCACAGACTGCAAGCTCGCCCAACTTCACTGACAAGTTTCTGCCAGTTGTAACCATTCTGGGCAGGGCCACTTGCATATGCATTGGCCCTTCCTCTGGAGGCCTAAGGGCTTGCACACCATGGCCTCTCATGCCACGAGGCAGGGAACTCCGCACATCCGGGGTCTGAAGAGCTGAGTGTGTCCCTCAGGAGAGCTGTTGACTGTGAGGGCTCTGGCTGCCTTCTGGTGAGGACCACAGGTCAATGACTTGTCAGGTCGGGCTGAGAGGTCGTCGAGGCATTGAGACACTGATTTGGGAAGACAGAGAGGACAGGCACCTGCCTGGCTTGGTCGGTCGACGGAGCGTGTGCTCTCCATCTCCAGATTGTGAGTTTGAGCCTCGAGTTGGGTGTAGAGGACTTAAAATAAAATAGGGGTGCCTGGGTGATTCAGTCGTTTAAGTGTCCGACTCTTAATTTCAGCTCAGGTCATGATCTCAGGGTAGAGGGCTCTGCACTCATTGGAGAGTCTGCCTGAGATTCTCTCTCCCTATGCCCCCACCAACTCATGCCCTCGCTCTCTCTCAAAAAAAAAAAAAAAAAAAACTTAAAAAAATAAGCAAAAATACAGACAAGAATATGGAAATATAGAAACATTGTGTCATGGACCAGCCAACTTTCCTTTTTTTTTTTTTTTTTAAGATTTTATTTATTTGACAGAAGAGAGAGAGAGCGCACAAACTGGGGGAGTGGAAGAGGGAGAAGCAGGCTTCCCGCGGAGCAGGGAGCCCGATGCGGGGCTCGATCCCAGGACCCTGGGATCATGACCTGAGCCAAAGACAGATGCTTAATCGACTGAGCCACCCAGGCACCCCGTGCACGTGATTCCTTTGAGCATCTCAGCTTTACATTGAGCGTGGGGTCGAGCTCTCCCAGCAGGAATGCTGCAGGAGGAAGGGGTTCTCCTGTGTGTCGGGCTGGGCTGGGTTGGTCAGTGGTGTCATGCCCACGACACACTGTCCCTCGGCCATCTCGAAGCCTTGACCTGGCCACAGTAATCTTCCTGCAGTGCTCTCAACAGGGAAACCAGCACCCCGCCCCCCTCTGCAGTGTGCCTCGGGCCCATGCAGCCTGGAAGGTTCCCATTACCTTGCATGCCCAGCACCCCCACCCATACCCTCACGTACTCTGCCTCATCATGTGGATCTTGGGCTAAGCTGAATGTGTTCCTAGGCTGCCTACTTCGAGCCATGGTGGGGATCAGCCCGAGACCCACAGGGAGGTCCCAAAGAAGCTGAGTCTAGATGAGAGACATGCTCTTCCTGATCCAAAGAGGAAGCAACTGGTACAAAGGGGCCCCAGAGCCCTGACGTGGTCCCTTGAGACAGTGTGGCAGGTGTCCAGGTATGGTCACCTGGCAGCTTGTCCAAGGACGCTGTTTCCCACAGTATCGACAGTCAGAAGTCCCTGAAACAGCCACTCATATACCGGCCCTTTTGATCTTTCTTCCAGAACAGTCCATTTCTGATTTGCAGTTTGTAGCAGGTAAGTGTGAGGAAAGCAGAAACCACCACTGGCTCACCAAGCTGGACAGAACGTGCAAAGGTCAGAGGGCAAAATCTCTCTTGGGGTGCAACATACTCTCCAAGGATTTGGTCAACAGTGACTCTGAGCATTACAACACTTAACGGGCTGGGAGAACACTAAAAACTACCAGGCGCTTTTAGTTGGCCCCGTGGTGTCCTGACTGCCCAGCAAGAGCACGGAAACAGAAATGAAGCTCGTCTGTGGACAAGACTACGCCAGTCCTTCGCTTCAACAGAAACCGGCAAAGCTGCTCAAACACAGCAACGGTAACAGCTCGACTTCTGTATAAAGACAGCCTAGGAAGATGGAGCATTTCTTACTTGACTTTCCCATCACTCAGGCCTCATACTATGTGATGAGGTGATTAAAATATGTTAATAAATCATTTACTTCTCTGTACTAGTCCTCCTTTTGTACAACAAGAGAGGTGGCCTTTGTTTTGCCAACAGAGACAGGTGAGGTTGAGCACGTGCTGCTCGCTTTTCCATTTCTGACATGAGGCCTGAATTTTGGGAAGGCAACACCGGGAGTTGTGAGAAGGGGCCTGGTAGGAACACGGTCGTCTCAGCTGTAGTTTTTTTTTTTTAAAGATTTTATTTATTTATTTGACAGAGAGAGAGAGAGCGAGAGCAGGAACACAAGCAGGGGGAGTGGGAGAGGGAAAAGCAGGCTTCCCGCCGAGTGGGGAGCCCGATGTGGGACTCGATCCCAGGACCCCAGGATCTGACCTGAGCTGAAGGCAGACGCTTAATGACTGAGCCACCCAGGCACCCGCCCCAGCTGTAGTTTTAATCAGGGTGGAGATACGTAAAACGAGCACAGGTTTGAAATGATTAGCAGGAGCCTTTGCCCCCTAAGATGAGGACCATTTGGTAACAGATTCGAGCCGTGGTGGGCATCAGCCCGAGACCCACAGGGAGGGCCCAAGGAGGCCGAGGCTGGGTGAGAGAGATGCTCTTCCGGATCCAAACAGGAAGCAACTGGTTTCCTTCTCTTTATTATTCTAGATACACCTGCTCAGTTTAACAACATCCTTCTGCCTCTCTGTGAATGTGTTTCCATGTTCTACATGACATATCTACGCTGTCCACTTTAGTTCGTCTCTATTCAACTGTATGTGACACAACATATATGTCAAACTTTACCATCCAAACTAGACACAATTTGAAAAAAGAACAAATGTTTTTATATAGTGATCACTATTTCTGTAGTCCCTGTCTATGGGAATCTCAGTATCTTTAAAAATTATCCAGCTAGGGGCACCTGGGTGGCTCAGCTGTTAAGCGTCTGCCTTCGGCTCGGATCGTGATCCCAGGGTCCTGGGATCGAGCCCCGCATCGGGCTTCCTGCTCATGGGAAGCCTGCTTCTCCCTCTCCCGCTCCCCCTGCTTGTGTTCCTGCTCTCGCTAACTCTGTCAAATAAATAAATAAATAAAATCTTTAAAAAAAAATTATCCAGCTATTTCCTGTATCCTTTGATGCAGAACAAACCACCTTGAAACGAACTGGCCGCCAACTATGAACCAGGGTTGGGGGTTGAGCAGGGAAGCTGTTCCTAGGGTAAGTGGCACCGTGTGTTTATCAAGATTCACGGAACAGCATAGCTTGGTGTGAACCCCAATGGACGCAAATTCTTAAAAGCTCTTTTAGGAAGTTGGGAGAATCAGAATGTGGCAAAAGCAAGCAAGCAAGCAAAGTACATTTCAAATGAAATGACCTCAGTGAAGGGGGTGGGGAAGTGCTGACCCAAGTCACTTTGGGGATGAGAAGAGTTTGCAAGATGAGAGGCCACGAAGTGTGCACAGCCCTGCTCACTAGCTGATAGACTGTTCCCTATGGGCTATGGTTTATCGATTCTGATGTGTCCACCAGAATCAAACAGTTCAGCAAGCGGGTGGCAGACAGTGGCAGCCAGGTTTCTCACTACTTGGGGTTAAGCAAGGAGTGGCGGCTAGAATGACCTGTGCGGTCACGGGTGACAGCTGGAGATCCAGTATCAGCTTGCGTTCAGTGTGGGGTAAACACC